ACCTCCTCTCTCAGTTCTTACATGGCCTTTTCTCTGTTTGGCCACAGCTTAGTTTTTCTTACCCTTTTTGTAGGGACACCAGTCCTATTGGCTTGGACCCTTCCCCTGTTGTTTACACTGTTTCCTGACCTAATGATCCCATCTCAATCCTGACATACAGTAGGTGTTCAGTAAATGGTGTGGACGGATGACCTGTGGGATGCTGACTTTCCTGTGTCAGACATAGCCACACTCTATGTCCCTTGTCATAGACTGAATTGTGTCTCCGGAAATTTCATGTGTCAAACCACTGATCCCTGTGTGATTATATGTGGAGATAGGACCTAGAAGACACTAATCAAGAGTAATGACATCATTAGGGTGGGGCCCTAAGCCAATAGGACTGGCGTCCCTATAAAAAGGGTGAGAAAAACTAAGCTGTGGCCAAACAGAGAAAAGGCCATGTCAGAACTGAGAGAGGAGGTGGCCATCTGCAGACTAATGACAGAGGCTTCAGGAGAAAACAAATCTGCAGGCCCCTTGACCTGGGACTTCCAGCCTCCACAACAGTGAGAAAATAAATTACTGGTAATGAGTGGTGATGTCACCCAGTCTTTTGTAGGGAAAACCCAGCAGATTAAACCATCCCTCATGGACTCTGTTTCCAGGGCAGCCTGCACCTGGTGTGCAGAGATTTTTGCTTGATCTAAAAATATCACACCATATGTTGCTACCAAGGACAGGTTAGGGGGCAGAGTTCAAGAGGACAACACTCTCTCTAGACAGAGTTATCTCAAGTGGGCCTCAGACACCAGTTTTAGGCAAAAGAAACAAAGAAAGGAAGCAGCTGGCTTGGCCATCGGTGGGGGCCGCACCAGGAAGCCCCATCTCTGGGCAGACGGCAGGTTCTTGTCTCACTTCCCTGCTGGCCTGGAGCACTGTGCGAGCACCAAGGTTGCTGTCATAGGACTGACAGTAATAATCAGCCTCGTCCTCAGGCTGGAGCCCAGTGATGGTCAGGGAGGCCGAGCTGCCAGACTTGGAGCCAGAGAAGCGATCAGGGATCCCCAAGGCCCGATTGCTGTTACCATAGATGAGGAGTTTGGGGGCCTTTCCTGAGAGCTGCTGGTACCAGTTCACATAATTGCCACCCCCGATGTTGGAGCTGCTGCCGGTGCAGGAGATGGTGACCCTCTGGCCCAGGGCCCCAGACGCTGAGGGCGGCTGAGTCAGCACAGACTGGGCCCAGGACCCTGGAAGTGGGAGAGACACAGACATGGTGATTCTGGTGTAAAGACAAGAGGAGACAGCAGGGCCCCATGGTCTTCCCAAGGTCCTTTCCTTGGCCCAGTAGATAGTCACCTGTGCAGTGAGCAAGGAGGCTGAGGAGGAGAGGGGACCAGGCCATGGTGGAGATTGTCCCCGAGTCCTGTCTCTGTGGCCCCGCAGCTGAAGCAGAGCTTCCCCATATCTCTCGCTTCCCCTCTTCATACTCTGACAGGGGGAGGGCCCGTTCATGCAAATGAGACCCTCCCTCCCCCCAGCTCTTTCACACCACACTGAGCCCTGAGTCTGAGGATGTGTGGGGGCTGGGCATGGATAGGGCCATGTGGGCCCAGGGAGTGGGGAGGTCACAGCTGTGAGCCCTGAGCAGATGGCACTAGGCAGGGCCAGGAGGCTGGTTTCAACTCTGATCACCTCCAGACTCCTCAGGAATGGCACCCGCACACCCCCTGGTGTCCAGACCTAGACACACCATCATGTGATCTGGTGACCAGACATCCTCTGGGGCAGCCCTGCCTCCCCATTCCTCTGTCCATTGCTCAGGTCCCATGTCATCCTGATCTGTCAGGATCAACCACTCTGAATGGTGGGTTAAGGAAAAGAAAAGTTTTGTACTGAAGAGTGAGTGCTTTTGTTCTGTTTAACATTAACAAACCAAAAATTAAAGATTCCCTGTCCTGAAAGGACATGCAATACATATTCTTTTGTCAGAAAAATTAAGCTTTGTAAAAAGATGGTCCCATTTCCCAAAACCACAAAAAGAAACAAAGGCTCTTGGAAAGTGTATATACCAGACTGTTAATTATTGTGTGTGTGGATCACATGGACTTAGACAGGAAGAGCCACTTGTCAGTTTGACATCACCGTTAATGAATATGTTGAAATGTGGTCCCATGACTGTGAGAATTTGAATGCCAGATTTTGTGATAAATTCGTGAATATATAAAGTAGTCACCTAAATACATTTGGATTATAAGTTCATCTGAAAGAAACTTTATGGTACATTTTGATTTTGAAATCACAATATTATTTTCCATCATGTTTGTTTTTAGTCATCAGGTTTCAGATTTTTCGTGTGTGTTCTTAGCATACAGCAGACATTTTATGAGATTTTATTCATTACAAAGTAGAAACTAACTTTAACAAATGTGCTTATAATCTGTGTTTTCTCAGTATTCCTTCCTCTTTGCTGATGCAGTGATTCTCAGAATCAGTTTTGCTCCCTGTCCTCCCACCTTACTGGACAGGATAGGCCCAGGCTGAGCCGTCCCTCACACACAGGATGACGCTGTCCGTGGTCCCCTCCCTGCCCACGGGTGCTCTCCATTGCGGGTGCACCCGTCAGCTCTCAGGCTGAGGGCACAGAGAGAAGCAGGCCCACAGGAGACCCTCTCCAGTTCAGCCCCATCCTGAGGGCAGTACACGTGCCCAGTGAGAAGCAGGTCTGCGTGTGCAAATACTTACTGAGCATCTGTCTTCTGTTGCGTGCATTGATTGCCAGTGGGTTTGACCAGCGGACCTGGAGAGTCTCATCTTTGCCTCTGGAGCTGACCCCGATGAGAAAACACAGGGCTTTGGAGAACAAACGTTTCAGGCCCACAGGAGACCCTCTTCCAGCTCAGCCCCATCCTGAGGCCAGTACACGTGCCCAGTGAGAAGCAGGTCTGCGTGTGCAAATACTTACTGAGCATCTGTCTTCTGTTGGCTGCATTGATTGCCGGTGGGTTTGACCAGCGGAGCTGGAGAGTCTCATCTTTGCCTCTGGAGCTGACCCCGATGAGAAAACACAGGGGTTTGGAGAACAAAGGTGGCTTCCTTCCTCACCTTCTCCATTGGAGGCAGGGAAACTAGAGAGGCCAGTGCTGCCACTTCCTAGGGTCTGAGAAGGAATGAAGGTCCTGAGACCGTCGGGGAGGATGGGATCAAAACAACATGGGATCTGATGGCATAAGTCCTGAGCTCAGGTGAGGATGAGGAGACATTTAGAAAGGAGATATAGATGGAGGAACAGAGACGGACACCCTGATCCAGGTGAAGGGGCTCCCAGGACCTGAGGGATGAGACTCGGAAATGAGATGAAGCTTGGCAGGACCAGTGCCTTAGGAGTCTAAGACGACGACCTGTCGGTCGAGGAGCTGCTAGCTGGAGGACCGTGGTCTGCAGAGGTTGCTGGGCTGCAGGGAAGGTGGGCTGAAGCCCCACGTTAGAGGATGTATCCTGAAGAGCACGTGGGACAATTGAAAGAGGGGAAATAGATTCCCCTTCACGACAGACTGGATGTGAAGTGTAGAAGAAGGATGTCCCCAAACAGACATGTCGTCTGGAAATGTCATACAAATGGAATCCTGTTAACTTGTAGATTTCTGTCAGAGGAGAAGATCAAACTAACGTTACTGGTTTTATTAACCTCAGTGATATCAACCAGCTTATCTCCAACATGAAAACTCTGCTTGAAAAATCCTTTTCTATTATATTACAAATAATGTGTATTTAAAATATTTACTGGCAAATCTTTACCATCTTACTGGCATATCGGTTGAGTATATTTGACATATGTTCATTTCATACATTACGAAAATAATATGTTTATCATTTAAAAAATTAAACTCTTACCACTTAGTAGGTTATCCATTGAGATGCCCAACGACACCCACCTTCCCTCTCTATGAGTGGCCTCTATTTAAGCTCAGTGATTTCTCTTCCTCAATCGTGGAGTGATTCTCAAGAGATATTGCTTTTGTTGACTCTTTTTTGCTTTTTTTCCCCTCCTTGTTATAAGACAGTGGACTGTAAATTAATTATTGGGGTCATCAGGCTATAGGTCATAACTGAGTTGGGAAAGGGGATAGAAACTAAGAGTGAGTTCTGTGAGAAATGAAGTGGCCCTGGCACTGAGAACATAACTTAATACTGGGTAGTGACAGAGCACCCCATGGAGGACACTGAGAAGGACAGTCCAAGTGGGGGAAACCAGAGAGTCCAATCAGGGCTCTTACTGTTTGGCTTTGTGCCCTTAAGGGACAGAGTCACAGCTGACTCAGAGCCAGGCTAAGTCTGATCCCAGCTCCCAGGACACAGAAGAGGAGGGTGATTAAGGTAGCACCACTGTGACCACGACGCCATGATGGGGTGAGTCTCAGCAGTGACCAGAGGTGACGTGGGGAGTAGTTATGGTGGGATGGAGTGGAAGGCAGCCCCACAAGGGATATGTCAGAAGGAGAGGTGCTGGTGCTGAGTCCCTGGGTCTGTCCTCACCTGAGGGGGGACAGGTGGAGGAGAGACACACAGGTGACGGGGGACAGTGGTACCACTGGTTTCTTCAGCCTTCTCTATCTTCCTTATTACGACTGGGAAGAAAAGGCCATCATGAGCTTTTTTTATAATTTTTGCTATTTTCAACCTGTTGTGAGATGTCAGAATTTCAGATCAATGTGTCATAGGTGGGAGAGTTTGTTACTTGGCCTTGGATTGATTTGTTGCATGGACATTGGACAGGTGGGAAACTCAAAGCTTTAGATTTGTGAGAATAGAACTACTTGGCCTCTGTCCCCTGTTCCTCTCCCAACATTCACAGGACATTAGCCAACATGAAGTAACAATGAACTAACAATGAGGGTGGAGTGAAAATTGAGGCACGTGGTGGGACCACTTAGCAAACCTCCTGTTTTTTGTGCTACTGTCTGGAGCCTAAATCTGCCAGCATGTTGTTAGTGTTTGACCCCAACATACAAAGGGATTGTCCCTGTGTTTCCCAAACCCAATCAGACAAGCCGTTTCTGGTCATAATGATGGTGTCAAGGGAGATGGTGGGAGTGATCTGGTCCGGTCACCCTGAAGGCCAGCTTCCTGGTCATTGGGTCTTTTTGTGAGTGTGTGAGTATAATGCTTGGGACTCAGAAGGTATTTTGTCCCCACATTGGGATTCAGCCTGGGTATGAGACTGGTTCCAGTGACCATCTTTCAGAAGGGTTATAAGAATCCATGCAAATCCCCAAGCAGATACATGGAAGTCATCTTAGATTTTTCCCCTTTTCTTACTCCCAAAAGACACAAAGTCTTCAAGTCCTGACATTGGCACCTCCGTTTTGTTCTTCTTGCTCCTTTCCTTCTTCAGTGTCACAAATCTAGTGAGAGACATTGCTTCCCTTTCAGGGTTACCTCTGTCACCTAGTCTCTGTCTCACGTATTGCCTCAGTTTACCCTTCAATCCATTCTCCACTCTGCAGCTGGAGAGCTCATCATAAATGCCAGACGAGGACGCTTCAGTGACTGCACGTGGCCTCCACAGTGGAGCGCTCACTTCCTGGAGGTGGCATCTTAATGATCTGCACACGTCCTCCCTTTATCTCATCCAGACACATCTAGAGTGGTTTCCCCTGACCTGAGCCCCTGAGATCTGCCAAACGTAGGCCAAATGCAAGTTATTTTAATTACTAGGATGAACAACCAAATTTTCTTCTCTTCTCTTCTCATTAAATGTTGTTAGCAAACATGGAGCACTCTTCTCTCATCCTTCCTTCTAGCTCATTTTCATTAATAATAAAAGTGACATATTAGATATCACCCCTCGGGGTCAGGCTTCTGTGCCCCAAATCCTTGTCAAGCACAGACCCTCTGTGGGAGTTAACTCCTTATGCGCCCCAATGGACACCTTCCATTCCCCTCATAGAGTTGAGTTTAGGGATTGACCTTCCATTCCCCTCATAGAGTTGAGTTTAAGGATTAGTAGGAACAGGTGAGATGAGGCTCGAGAGGCACAATTGAGAAGATGCCAACTGGAAATTAAGGAAGGACACTGTGTTGGACATCACTTTTTCAGTGCTAGTGACAATACAAAGGGACAAATCTACACTGTAATAATGGAATCCGTGTAATCAATCACACATGAAATGAGAAGATTGTTAGGAAAATGTTGGATAAGTGAATAGTCCTCTAGCAATTCTAGGTGTTACTTTTTTTTTTAAATCACTTTCTTTATGAAAATAAATCAAAGTTTAAATGAACATATCCAGCCTCTCTGTTTTTACTATCTTTATTAATCACTATCTGTTATGCCTTGAATCGAACAGATCCCAACACGTTTAGAATAGGACTCCATAAAAATATCTCTGGAATGAGGAATTCTAATCA